GTATTTTTTAAAGTCATGAATATACACTGTATTTTATAAAATATCTTTTCAGTATTTATGGAGATGGCTATATTGTTCTTCCTTATTTGATCTATTATATAGAGAGAATATAGAATATAGAGATGGACTAGAGTTGAAGGGAAATATGAGGTCCAGGAAGGTTTTTGTTTTTCAGATGGGAAGGACATAACACGATTTCATGATAATGGAGAGGAGCCAGTGAAAGGGAAAGGTTAAAGATATTGGGATATGTCTAGGGAATGGTTGTGAGTATAAGATTCTGTAGAGGATTGGAGGGGTTGTAATTCAAAGTGAAGGTGACTTTGATAGGAGAAATCTTCTTCCTGTATCAGAAGGGAAAGGAGGAGATGAGTACAAATATAGGTAGGTTTCCATGAAGTATGAGGTGAAGCATTCTGCTTGGAATGAGAGGGCTTGAGAAGAAGGGTATCCAAAGTTGAACAATAAATGAGAAGGTGTAAAATAATTAATAGTTGTTTCAGGTAGTAGTAGGGGACTAGTTGACTGTGGAAAGTTAGATTGCTTCCTATGATAGAAGACCCAGTCGAGGTTGGCAATCAAGAATTTATAATGATAGCAATCTGTGTGTGTGTGTATTTTTACCCCTTCTGGTTGCTCGGGTATAAGTACAGAGAAGGCAATCAGCTGGATTCCTGAGGGTTGGAATTTAGCCAGGTAGGTGCTGTGGAAGAACAGAGGTAAGGCAGCTCTGGGTTTTTGCAAGAGTGTACTGATGGCAACTGTTTCATAAATAGGAAATGAAAGCAGGAGGGAGCTGATGGATAGTGAGAAAGAGGAATGGGCTGGAAGTCCCGTGAGGTCAAAGAACAATTACAGTGGGGATGATGAGCAAGTAAGTCACAAGGAATAACAGGTCAGAGTGGGATGTTTGAATTAGAGGTTTATGAGGTGGTGGTATGTCTATGATGGAAAAGCCCAAGGTATAACAGAGAGTCCAGTGGGAACTGAGGGAGTGGTGGCTGAGCTGGAGGGGAAGGTGGTGACTGGATTTTCTGTGCTAATTTTAAAGGGACCCAAAATAATGGCAAAAGTTTGAGTAGAATGGAAGTCTTGTGAGTCAGGTGTTGAATCCTGGATTCTGAGGTTTACCGAGAGGGTGGTGGATGATCTCATAGATGAATAAAGGGAAGAAGATAGTATAGCCCAATGGGTGAGCCTCAAAGAAGAAGGGATTTTTCCTGAGGGAGGAGGATACGGAATGGTCTGGAGGTGGTATTAGGACAAATAGGACACAACCCAAATTGCATCAGGTGTGAGAGAGTATAAACAGCTTCCATTAAGACAGCAGTCCCCAACCTTTTTGGCATCACTGGCAAGTTTCATGGCAGACAATTTTTCCACGGACTGGGGATGGGGGTTTGGGGGGCAGAGCTCAGGTGGTGATGCGAGGCCCATTTCCTAACAGGCCACACAGGGGGTTACAGACCATAGCATTAAGAGGACTATTTCTTATTCAGGGGAAGTACCCCCCTCAGGGACCAGCCAGTTTGCATTTGACTCTGATTTTTAATCTGGACGCATTGTAGAATTGCCTGAGGAATATTTTAAAAACTACCAGTGCCTGGAATTTACCTCCAGAGATCCTGTTTTAATTGTCCTGGGTGGGACCCAGGTGTCAGTAGTTTTTTAAAGTGCCTCTGGTAATTTCAGTGCATCCATAGTTGAGAACTACTGAGAAGTGTAGGGAATATTTAGATAAAGTTGAGGATATAGGAATATTGAAGATCACAGAGGTTCAGAGGGTTTTAGAAGGGAGAAGAATAGTAGAAGACTGTCATGGGATCATTTATTCTCTTTTCCAAGCAACATGGCGAGAGAACATCCAGTATTATTTTGTAAGCAATTTCTGGAATCTTCTGGCTGTTAAATCAGTTACATATTTGCTAAAACATATCTTTCAAGAATTGTGGGAGAGAAAAAATATGTGTTCTTGTTCTAAATTTCTGTCAGATAGGAACTGCTATTTTTTAAATTACTTTTAATATGAGAAAGGGAGGACTTACTAGTTCCCGAAGGCATTTTTCCTGTATCTATCTTCAAGGCTGCTCCTAATTGACACTTTATTCATTCTACCTTCATTTTGTTCCTCCTTACAGTGGCACCCTCATTAATTTTATCTCTAGTTCACTTCTTTCACATTTTTTCCTCCATTTTTATCTCTTACTCTGAGAAATAATTTTGTTTTCTTTTTTTTAATCATTCTACAAAGATAGAAACGACAGGAAATACAGAGGACAAAAAGAGAGCCAAAGGTTCAGAAGTGGATTTCTACCATAAGAAACTGGATTTTCATTTCATTTTCTCATTTCTTTGTTATTTACAAGTGTGAAAGAGTGCAGTTCAACATTTATTAAATGCCTTCTGCCTGTGAAATCTGATGTCATTATCACCAGTAGAGTGACCAACCAGCCCAATTTGCCTTGGACTTTCTCAGTCTTAGCATTGAAGACCCTGAGTCCTAGGAAGTCCCTCAGTCCCAGACAATCCCAGAACAGTTGGTCACCCTAGACCATGGAAAGTGTTGGGTAACCTGTATATGCAGCCTTCCTCTTGCCTTTAAGGAGCTTATAGTTTCCAGGGGCATAAGAAAACAACATGTAATAAATCACTTAGAATAAGAATATAAACAAGTACGTATGTTTCCTGGATCACCATATCCAAACAGTTGATACAGATTATAACTATAGGGCATCAGAAAAGGAGAGAACAGTATGTTATACACATAAGAAATTAAAGTCCTAGATAACTTTGCTTCTAATTCTGCTATTTTCCAGTTGGCTATATTTGAACCAAACCAGTCCTGGACCTAGGTCATTATATTGGTTTTGTAAGTTTATTCAAGACATACATTTTTCACTTGAGGTAACAAAGTGTAGGTGATTCTTTTTGAAATACTTTGAACCAATCTCACTATTCTTTTATAATTAGTTTGTAAATTTAATTGAATCTGTGCCTATGAATAGACAATCCTACTTCCTTTATTTTCTCCACACTTCAGATACTCTTACTGTATGATCTGAATTTGAAATGGTAGGAATTTTTAGCTAAAGGATGGGAGGAAGGTGATTGAGGAATTTAACTTTTGCTAAAAAGTCCCTGCATTAATATCTGAGAGAGAGATCGGAACGCAAGAAGCTATTATGTTTGTATGTATCATACCCCTAGATTGGGCTGATCATTGACACAGTTCATCAGCCCTAGGAGTACTCACTTCCATTAGGGTTCCCTCTCTGCATCACCCCCTCCAGCGACTCCCTTAATCTTATACATGTGCTTCCTACATTAGAAGTCTGGAATATTTGTGATCTGTTCTTTTGCCTATTAACCTGATAAGTTGAGAATATGACCCCAATAAAACATTGTATCCCATAGCTGTATGTGTATGAATTTCAATTCTTTTTAGGTGGCTGCAAAATTCGAGTTCAGGGGGACTGGACCAGAGAGCGCCGCTTTGAAATCCCTGATGAGGAACACTGTTCAAAGTTCCTCTCAGAGGTCCTTGCTGCTCAGGAAGGTAACTCAAGACTCAGCGATTTTCTTTCTACTATTTCAATGGGAGTGAAATTCTGACATGCTGATACAGAGGAAAGTAGCCATTAGCAAAGTACTTCACCCTTTGAGCCCTAATGGCTGATTTTTTTTTCTTCAAGAATGAACACAGGAATAGGTCAGGGAACAAATCTACGCAGCTTTAAGGACACTGAGCCAGTTTCCAGAATTTTCAAGCACAGCTTACCGTGGAGTATAATTTTCCTGTTTCCAGATGACCCTCTGAGCTGCACTTATTTCCTTAGTCTCCTCCATGCATTCGGAATTGGTGCTGGCCCCTGCATTTAAGGAGTGTCGAAAGAATGGTTTTTGGTTATGGTAAATTCCACTCAATTAAGGGCTCCCCAGTTTCTGACCATGACCCTTATCTCTCCAGCTCAGTCACAACTTCTTGTTCCAGAGCAAAAGGACTCATCTAGCTGGTACCAGAAATTAGACACTGAGGACCAACCTTCTGTTTTTTCAGGTACTGAAAGGTTGCTGGTTCCCTGGTTGCTATGATCATTGCAGAGTCAGTAGATTTTATCAGACCAGATGCAATGATGAGGATTAAAGTCAACATTAGACACATTTTCCTGCAGAGTGGTTTTATCAAGTCCATGCCCACTGGCCAGTGTTTACTCTTAATCCTTTCTGTGGCATGGTAGCTCTTCAGGAGCCAATTTATCAGAGTATTAAGATCTACAGGCTCCAAAGCCAGACAGCCTGGGTTTGAATCCCAAGTCTAGGGCTTTGCTATTTATATGACCTTTGTCAGTTACTCAACAACCCTTAATCTCCATTTTCTGTAACTTGGAAGAATTTTATTAATAATAGTACCTACCCCATGGGGTTTTTATGATGATTAAGTGAGATAATGATATAATTCAAGAAATGTTACTCATTATTATTCAGGTTCCAGATTACCATAAATTTCTATTGTTCTATTTAGTTTATCAATGCTTCAGGGATGGATATGCTTCTTCAAATCCCATTCTAAGTAATTCCTACCCTTATAGCACCTTTCTGTTTAGTGTTTAGTGATGCCACTGATCAAATCATGATCGAATCAATGCCCTATCTACCCTGGATATGTTGGATGTTAGTTTTTTTCTCCCTTTGACTTTGGGTCCTGTGTCTTTCAGGCCTTCTTGCGTTTGAGGACAATTTTTCGTCGATGAATTTGGACAAGAAAATAAATTCACAAAATCAGCCTACAGGGATTCATCGGGAACCTCCACCTCCACCCTCTTCAGTGAATAGAATGTAAGTCCTATGTCAAAACATTTCCTCTGTAAGAGAATTATATTTTAGGCAGTTTTACTTTTGAGTTTCTCATTTATTTTCCAGGCTTCCACGTGAAAAAGAAGCTTCTAACAAGGAACAGCCCAAAGTGACCAACACCATGCGGAAGCTCTTTGTACCAAATACCCAGTCTGGGCAGCGGGAGGGTCTCATCAAACATATCCTGGCAAAGCGAGAGAAAGAATATGTCAACATTCAGACTTTCAGGTTAGTCTCTCTTCTCCTTACTGAGTCTAAAAGTTAGTAGGTATAGCAGACAAAGGGCTTTTGATATTTAAGATATTAGCTTAACCATGAATCAAAGCATGATAAAAAGGAATAGTTATCTGATTCAAACCCCTGTCTCTAAAACCGTTCAGTAACATGCATATCTGAAATAAGACAGGTGCTACAATTTCCCTTGAATTTTTTAAGTGCTGATAATACCATGTCTACTAATATTCATATCCAGTCTTAAAGAACCAAATCAACTTCACATATACTAGAGAATTGTCCCCTAGCACATTCCATAAGAAAGTGTGTTTGTGTCTCTGGACTGCTGAGAATCTTTTCAGCCAATATTAGAAAATTAAAGTCCACCATTACTACCATTACTACTAGCTCTCAACTTACTTTGGAAATTTAACTAAAGAAAATTTCACCCAATCCTCTTGATTGAGAGGTCTGTTTTAGATTCTTTCTTCTGTATTATTTTTATTTCACCTTTACTTGTTGGCATCCTCTTTTCTGGACCTGGTGTGTGTGCCATATGTGAGGCGTGATGTGGCATGGCATGTATCTCCAACATACGAAGCAACAATACCTTTCTTTGTTATTCATGAACAGAATGTACCCTTCTAATCCAATATTGCAGTCCCATCTGCTATCCCGTCATGCCTCATTTATTTTAATTCAATCATAGCTATATACCTATACTAAAACCTCCAGATCCTCATATTCCCCGTGATGCTTATATTTGTGTGTAAACAGTTAAGACAGTCATGAGTTTTCCCTTCTGCTTTTCCCCTTAATAGTATATCTGTCTCATCAGAATTTCCTACACAGATGTCCTTGTAATCCTTCGGGAAGTGAATTTTTGGATTCAACTATAGCCCCTTATAGAACATTTATTCATATTAGACTAGCTTACAGCACAGTGATACCTCTTTCCCAACCATAAGCTCTCCCTTCAAGTATGAGTTTGGATGGAGTTTAACTGAAAGGAAATATGGTAGAGCAATTAACTTTGCATTTTTTTTAAATAGAGACTTCATTTCTTTCTGTAGTTTCACTTAATGTAAAATTTAGAGAAAATAAGCCTACTGCCTTTGTGTTTTAGATGTTTCTTATGTGTGTGGCAAAACATTTTGAGGAATTATGTTAGCATATTGTGAACATACACTTGTGTAAAAGTGACAAGAGAGGCCTTCTTTTGGTTTATACTTGATCTTTGTTTTCAAATTATTTTTTGGTATTATGTATTAGATTTTTTGTTGGAACTTGGAACGTGAACGGCCAGTCTCCAGATAGCGGGTTGGAACCTTGGCTGAACTGTGATCCAAATCCTCCTGATATCTACTGCATTGGGTAAAGAACACTTATGGAATTTCCTTTTGGCTATATGTTTGGTATTAGTGTACATGATGTTTTGCCTTCCTTTTTTAAAAAAACGATTTGGTAAAAACCTACCGTAGATTATATGTGGGAGTTAACTTGTGGATCAAATTTGTGAGATCAGAAATGAAGAGCTGCCTAAAAAGGTGTAAGGAAGCACCTAATTTTCTTGAAACCCATAGAAAATTGTATTCTTTATAGAAACTGAGACTCAGGGTCAATTCTAACAGTGACTATTCCTAGGATATAAGAGCAAAGCTCCATCTACTGTTACTGGGAGGTTTTTTGGTTTGGTTTTTGCATAGCCTATGAATATGCTGGTGGGGATTCTTTAGAAAAGAAAGCTACTCGTCCTTACTTATAACCTGGGTAAACAGAGCAGTTCTATAAAATCTCTCTCTCTCCCATTCTTTTCTTTGTCTAATGTCCTGGCAAATGGGACAGGAGGTAGGTAGCCAAAGATAATTATGTGACATGTATAGATCTCACATCCTTTTTTTCCACAGATTCCAAGAGCTGGACTTGAGCACAGAAGCCTTTTTCTACTTTGAATCAATGAAGGAACAAGAGTGGTCCATGGCTGTAGAGAGAGGTTTGCATTCCAAAGCCAAGTATAAGAAGGTAAGCCGCATTTAATTATCTTTTTAAGTATATGACTAAATAGGACTCACTAGGAGTTATTCCATTATCTATAACTTGGTCCAAAAGAATGGTTTAATTGAATTCTTCCCTGTGTGTAATACAGGGATAAGGTAAACTAATCCTTCATCTATATTTCCTAGAAAAAAAATTGCCCTAAACTTTCTGATCCTATATTTTCATTTCTTAGATAGCTTTTAGGAGGAAAAAAAAAGGAATTTTATTGTTCTCTTATCAATAATTAGCTCAAAATAATTACATACGAGGTAGCCATGCAATAAAAATTTAAGATTGAAATTGCTCACTGACATGGTCAGAATTGAATGCTTTATAGAAAAGCGGTATGAAGCATGTGGATGCATAGGGTATGCTTTGGAATCAGAGCAAGAATACCAGTGGTGTAGAATTTAAACGAGTTCTAAACTTGGTTATAAGTCGAGAGCAGAGTTGACTTTAGCAAGGTGGGCCAATTTGTTTGTCTTTAGAAGGCATGTGGTAGAAGCATTCAGCTACCAGAAGAGTTATTTTAATTACAAGGCTACCATAGTACGCTCTCTAAAAGGAGTAATCTGGGTAATTTTTCTCTACATCTTCTAACATTTTTATATAGGTAATAAAACTCCTGATGATATTATTTCTTTCATATAGGTCCCTGACTAATACATATCTCAGACATTTCTAGCTGTAATTCACAGGTTAAAAATAATCGAAGTAAAAAGGATTGCTAGTTTATAGATTTAAATTTCTTAGAAAATTAGAAATCAGAAACTACAAAAGAGAGGTGGGAAGAACAAGCCAGGATAGTGGCTTTATTATTTGAACTTTTAATAGTGATTAAAAAGTGATTAAAAGAATGGGTTTAGAGCTGAGTATACTCACTGTCCCTCAAGACTTTTAATTCTTATTGGTCAGAGCCAAATTAGAGCTTCCCCAGAGAATTTTGGTTTCTGTTTTATGGGCTCCACAGGGAAATGTGGATTCAGATTTGGGCATCGATATGTCATCTTGATGGAAAATTCATTGTAGGAAGTTAGATATGTGACAAAGAGTGGTATTAACATTAACCTTTTATAACTCCCCGGAACTCATAGGTTCAACTAGTCCGTCTTGTTGGGATGATGCTCCTTATATTTGCCAGAAAGGATCAGTATCGACATATCCGTGATATTGCTACAGAAACAGTTGGAACTGGAGTCATGGGGAAAATGGTGAGTTACTTTGGAAATGAACTTGACTATAATTTTTGTCCATGTGAAGTTCAATTCCAGTTGTATGTACTAACTGTGAATAATTATTCTTGCTAACAGGGAAACAAAGGTGGGGTAGCTGTGAGATTTGTATTTCACAACACTACCTTTTGTATTGTCAATTCCCACCTGGCTGCCCACGTGGAGGACTTTGAGAGAAGGAATCAAGATTATAAGGACATCTGTGCAAGAATGAGTTTTGTGGTCCCAAATCAGACCCTCCCGCAACTGAACATCATGAAACATGAGTGAGTGGTTAACTCTCTTGTAGCCTTTGAATAGTGGCTACAGGAGAGTTTGAATAGTGAAGAGAGTGAATATGTTGAGAAACTATAGAGCTTCAAAGAGTGAAAGATTATCAGTTAGGTATTGGGGTCACAAAGAAGAGAGAGTTTTTGAGAAATAGCAGACTCATTGAGGCTGAGAAATTAGATTTGACATCAGAGGAAAGGTTGGTTGTATTAGTAGGGCATCTAGAATAATGCTGCAGGGGTCTGTCAGTTGGAGTCAGTTTTTGTTGTTTTTTATTATATAATAGAAATGTTCATTGTAAATGTAATAAAAGATAAAATTAAAAGTAAAAATCCCTCATTTCTTATCCTCTGCTCTCCCCAGCCAGTCTCTCTCTCCAAAGGAAACCATTCTTAGCAGTAGGGTTTGTATCCTTCTAGGTCTGTGCTGTTCAGTATGACAGCCAGCAGCCATATGTGGCTATTGGGTACTCGAAAGTGATTAGTCCAAATTGAGATATGCTGTACTCATAAGCTATATACTGAATTTCAAAGACTTAATAGGGAAAAATGTAAAATATCTCAATTTTTAAAATATTGAATACATGTTGAAATGATAATAATTTGGATATATTGGTTAAAATGAAATTTATTGTTAGTTACTTTCACTTGTTTTTACTTTTTAAACTCAGCTACTAGAAAATTTCAAATTATATTAATGTGCATTATGTATAAGAATTCTATTGAACAGTGCTGTTCTAGACTTTTCTCTATGCACATACAAACACGCACTTGCATAGGACTCTATTATCCTATTTATTGTGGATCTCTTTCCAAACCAGTATATATAGATCTGCATTATTCCTTTTAATGGCTGTGCTTATTACAAATAGGGGTAGCAAAGAGAGGTCAGTGAAGAATGGGACTTAATAAGGATAGAAGCAGAAATCTGTTGAGGATGGATTGAGTGGTGGTAGAAAATGATTAGTTGTAAAGAAAGTAATATTAGTCATTGAAATTCTGAGAGGTCGATTTGGAATAAGTGGTTTGAGATGAGAATTAGTAGGAAAGCAACAGATAATTTAGGGGTACTAGAATCAATAGAGAGTAGGGTAATTGAGGAAAGAGTAGGGATATTGGACTATTTCCATGTTGTCTCAACGATTAGGAACATGTGGAATTCTGTTTCACAGTGGTGAAGTCAAGGCCTTGAAATTTATGGTCATGAAGTTGCCCTGAAATTCCATAAATTTATGTCCCTAGGATTCCACAAATTTCATGTTGCATTTGAGAATGGCAGAGTGACTCACTGGGAACTTGAGATAGCTCAAAGGAGAATCCATTTTGATGTGGTAATTTCAGGGTCTTCCTTTGTGGGGCTCTTAGCATATTTAGGTGCCTGTTGCTATGATTAGGAGATGAGGATCCCAACATGCCAGGCTCTTCCTGCCTGGAACTTGGACTACAGATTTTGGGCAAGGGTAGACAGGCAGATTGGCTACACTGGTGAGCCCTGAACCTACTTTGCCTAGTGGGCCCTACCTGGGAGAGTTGCTGTGCAGAGCATGCAGACCTTAGCGAAGAGCCTGCAGAACCTCTGGGCTCTGAGAGGCAGAAAACGTTCAGATTCTCTTTCCCTAGAGACCTGGCAAGCAGCCAGGCAAAATTTTGAAGCTAGTCCAGCAAATAAACTGCATGCTTCTCAGTCCATTAACTGCTTGGCTTCTGAATCCCATACATATATTGCGTTTCCTGTTTTCATTCTTCATGTATGGAGTACCTATTCTCCCACCTATTTTATATTCCATTGTTTCTCTCAGGTGTTGATAAAACTTGCCCCAAAAGGGTTAGTCACAGCTTTAAAACCCTTGTCAGATAGTGACGAATGAACCCTTATCAATAATCTACCTATTCTTCTCTTTATCCTTTTCTCACTGTTCTTATGCTAATTACTGCTACTTCTGTTCATGTATTTCTTGATCCTCAGCGTTGTCATTTGGTTGGGAGATTTGAATTATAGACTTTGCATGCCTGATGCCAATGAGGTGAAAAGTCTTATTAGTAAGAATGACCTTCAGAGACTCTTGAAATTTGACCAGGTAAGTAAAGTTTTGTTTTATAGGAACTTTCCTAGATAAGCAGATGAGATTGTTAGGGTTATGAGGTAGACATGTGGGAGGCATGTCTTACTCTAGGAAGGAATAGAAACGTCTTATTGTCTTGTGAAAACAGTATGACTAGTGATGCATTGACTACACACAAGATTTATAGTGCTTTTGTTAAGTGCTTGGATGGGAGGAGGTGAGATAACATTAGTGATAAAAATAAATATAACATTCAGTAAGTCTTCATCAAGAAGAGATTTCAGAGACTTGTATAAATGAATTGGTGAATGGGTGGGGTTAATTGGAGAACACTTCCTGGAGGAAGTGGGCCTTTTCTGCTATGTTGATGTGGTTTGGCAGATGGAACAGGGAAAACTGTTCTATGATTATTTGGCAGGCTGAGCAACAGCTTGGAGGTAAAAAAGGGAGGCCCTGCGAGGGGGATTGGGAAGCACAGAAAAGAAGTCTGTCTGGGATGAAGAGCATAGGCTATGGGATAATGGGAACTGGTTGATAAGTTGGAGCAAGCTGGTATATAGCTGTTGATGTTAAAACTTTTGGAAAAATTTTGATTCTATAACATTTATATAAAACCCGATAGGAACCTATATTTGAGGCAGGTCTCAGAACCTGGCATTTGACTCGAATTTTTACTTTATAACATGGATACTGGCTGCTAAAAGAAAATCTTTTGACTTGATTTGAACGTCTTTAAATCTTTACGAGAGCCTTTTTGACCCTCAGACATAGTCAGAATTCAAGTATCTTGCAGTAGAATTATTTTTGAGTGAGCCTTTTTTGGCGGTGTCTACCTTCACACTGTGGTTGGCTGGCTGATTTCTTTCTTTCTCTATCCTGCCTCCAAAAGGGGTACAGTTGGAATAAATTCTGAGTCTTATGTAACTCTGGTAAAATACTTCAGTGAGGATAACTTTCAAAACAATTTGTAACTATTCACTGACTTTGGTTTATGGAATTATCCATCCAACATTTGTGTGCTTTTTTTGTTTTTAAATCAAAATTGTGCTGGGTGATTCCCTCCCAGCTCCAAGGAACTTATGATTATTCAGATTTCATTTTTCCATTTTATCCCTGGCCACTGTAGCAATAAAAAACTTAGCAATGTGCTATTAATGAACATCCTATCTGATAGTATGTTTAGATGCTATAGGAATGCTGAGATTTAATTCATAAGGCACAGAAATTTTATGTGTGTACTCTCACAGTTGTAAAAGGCTATGGAACTGGATACTTAGAAATGGGAAAGTGGCTAATCAACTTGATTGTCAGTTATATTAAGATGGTGTTACCCTGCTTATGTGATGCTTTTTTCTATCTGTAGCTAAATATTCAGCGCACACAGAAAAAAGCTTTTGTCGACTTCAATGAAGGGGAAATCAAGTTTATCCCCACTTATAAGTATGACTCTAAAACAGACCGATGGGATTCCAGGTAAAGTAATAAGAACTTTCTCACAGAATAGGTTAAGGCTTGATCTTATTTCTTTCTTTCCAAATTGATTGATAAGGGGCTAGGAATTTTAGGTCATGACATAAGCAGATATGAAAACCTAATGGCTCAGTACTATTACAGAAGAGTTTTTCCCTCATGTATACTCAAAGGTGAGCCTATCTTAGGAAAGTACTACTTATACATCAGGGCTGTTGAAGTTTCATGAGCTGCCTGCAATGCCTTGTTTCTCTCACCTCAGCAGACTTGCTTAGATTTTTGCCTTCCTGATCTCGCCCCTATTTCTTACCTATTGCCCTGTTCTGGCTCTTTTTTTCCAAACTGCTTCTCACTATTACTCAGGATAACAGAAGATGAAAGCAAAGAGCCATGAAAGGTTCTTGTAGCACAGTAGCTATCAATCCTGAGAACACACTAGAATCTCTTGGGAAGCTTTTAAAAATATTGATGCTGAGACCCCACATCTGCCACTGCTGGAGAACACTGAGAACCACTGTCTAGTAGGCCCTTCGATTTCCTAATCACCCCAGTAAAGTGCTCCTGTCACTAAGTTCTTGGTAACTATTAATATTTGTCTTCTACCTGCTATGTGTTTGTTTCTTATGGTTTCCTACCTGGCTGAGCACAGAAACTGGAAAGAGAAAGAATCCCAGGGCATATTCAGCTGCTTCAGACTCTGAGAGCACTGGGGTGGGGAGTAGTCTGTTTGTATTCCTGTGCTCTGAGGGAGCTGGTCAGCAAATGAAAAGTGACACTGATAGATCTTGTACACTTTGCCTTGTTTCTTTCACTCACCTGACTTGAGAATCAACTGAAGAGCTACTGATAAGAAATATTTGTGTCACCTGGATCAGGTGTACAAGGTGTTGCTTATTTTAATAGAATGATGAATAGGGTTTTTCTCCCTACCCTTGGTATTCTATGGGCTATTTGCTCAGACTTGCATGCTTAGATGTTAGTTAATCTCTATTAGAAGAAGGCTAGACTGGTCTCTAAAAGTCCAGGCTTAAAGGAGAAATCTCTACTGTTATTCCTCTCCAGAGATTAAGCCCAGACTAGGAGTAGAGCATTGGAGTTTTAGACTTGATTAGTTATCTATCTGTTGTGAAATGTCATTGAAGTTCATAGAGCAAAGGAAAAGGAAGTGTTCAGAATATCATCCTGACCTTTTGAGGATATTTTAAGAAGGTACTATTATATTTTCCCCTGTGGTGACATTGTGGAAGATGTAATCCTAATCTTAGGAGAACTATTTATTTATTCATTAGATAAACTATTCATTGAGCACCAACTTTGCACCAGATACCATGCTCGGCGCTAGGAGTTCAGTGGGGACTGTAGTCCCTTCACAGAGCTTGCAATATAGTAGGTAAGGTAGTCGGTAGGTAAAGAGAAGTACACAGTTCTTTGGGAGCATATAATAAGAGGGCCTAACTTGGGTCTAAACCAGTGTGGTGGGTTCTTGTGTGGTATGTTTTCTTTATAACTCATTTCTTTATTTTCAGTGGAAAATGTCGAGTTCCAGCCTGGTGTGACCGAATTCTTTGGAGAGGAACAAATGTTAATCAACTTAATTATCGGAGTCACATGGAACTGAAAACCAGTGACCACAAGCCTGTTAGCGCCCTCTTCCATATTGGGGTAAACATTTGTTTGTTCATTCATTTGTTTGTGTGTTAAATATCTATTACTAGAGCATTATTTAGACTCAAAACAGATCGGTAGTTCAGTGAGCCATAAATGTTCCATAACCAAATAATCATTTGCAATGTTGAGAAGTTGGTGCCCTCAGCCTTCCCAAATGCTGATCATATAGCTCTTAACACTACATGGCCTTTTAGTGACACAGATTTTTCTCACGGTACATTGTGGTTGGGTGGTAACCTGAGCTTCCTAAAGTCAGTATGCCTAAAGAAGCATTAAGAGCTAGATTTTAAAGGATGAGTAGCTTTTCATCAGACAAATAGTAAGGAAAGGAAGCACAGAGAGAAAGGGGTTGGGGGTTCTGGGTGGAAGGGTGGGGACAGCAGGAATAAAGGCACAGACTGATTAGAATACAACCAAATCTGTATATTACCTTAAGTGGTGTAATGTTATCCCTACTATAATGAAGTTTTCCTGTCCAGGATCATAGGTTTTTTTTTTTTCTTTAATTCTGTTGAATCCTGGGCTGAATTAATAGCCAGTTATTTAATTTTTTTGTCTCTTTTGTGAATTACATTTTTCCCATTGTATTTTAACTGTGTGTTATTAGCATGCAGGTTATATCTTATATTAATAATCTTGCCGATTTAATTTATTGCAGCCAGTACACTTAGGTTATTTCATGCAGATTTTCCAGACATATGGTGATATAATTTGTCAGAACATATATAGCGTGGTGCTTAATAGGATTGACTTAGTGGTAGACTTTTTGGATTTGCATCCTCGCTCAACCACTTTCTAACTGTGCAACCACAAACAATTTATGTAATATCCCTGTGCCTCACTTTCCTCCTCTATAAAATGTGGGTAATAATGGTGTCTACTTATGAGGATTAATGAGTTTGAACATGTGAAGAGCATAGTAGAATAGGTTTCTTTCCCCTATGTGTATGTTGATTTTTTTGGCTTCTGAGATAGGTATCACCAACATTTCTTATCCTGCTCCTGTTTTAAAGAAGAATGACTTTGGGGCTTTTCATTTAAGAACAAAATTAGTTCTTGGTCTTAGAATAGATTTTAAATTTTATCAAGACAGTCTTGACTTGACTTTTGTCTATTTTGAAATTTTAAAATAATAATAATGATCAATAAGTGTAAGAATTCCTCAGATAGCAGCTAGTAGCTGTGTGCCAGGGACTGTGCTAGCCAATTTGCACACATCTCATTTACTCCTCACAACAATGCTTTGAGTTAAATGTGGTTGACCCTTGAACAACACGGGTCTGAACTGCACAGTTCCACTTATACATAGACTTTTTTCAACCAAAGACAGATGGAAAATACAATATTCACAGGATACAAAACTCCTAGTATGAGGAGGGCTGACTTTTTGTATCCTTGGGTTCCACAGAGCCAACTGTGAGACTTGAGTATGTGCGGATTTGGTTATATGCAGGCAGTCCTGGAACCAATCCCCAGTGTATACTGAGGGACAGCTGTATTTCCCATTTGACAGATGAGCAGATGGAGAACCAGCGAGTTTAAATAACTTCTTTAAGAGCATTAAACTAGAAGGAGAGCTGAGATTCAAATCTTAACTCTGCTTAACTCCCAACCCTACACTCTTTCCACTACCCTAGAATGCCTGTGTAGTTCTAAAGTACTTATCGACTAAATATACCTTCAGATACTACTTTATAGCCCATTGAATTTCTAGTTTGTAGTTGGGGGCTGTCTTCTTTTTGTCATTTGATTCTCTTCACCCATTTTAAGGGGACTAAAACCCTAACCTCTTTGGTTTATCAGCTATATTTGGCTCTTTTTTTTTTTGTATTCCTTTTCAGAACCTTGGAATATCTTTAATACTCCATACACACTAATCCAGAGCTCCCAGTGGGATATTTAAAACTTTTCTGGGCTTCCTATATATTTTTGTATATCTCTTAATAAAGATTTATCTTTCTCATTTTTAATGATCTTTAAATTGTCCATCAATTCAAAAGTGCTTTTTCTTTAAAATAAAAAATTTAAAAGCAGAATTTATAGATACGGCTAAAGTTCTTTAATCCTTGTTCTGTCTCCTATTCTCAACTTTGTCTAAACCCCCACTCCCCAGCCAGACCACTACCCTATGAGTTTATATCTTGCTATACCAATGCTATCCAATAGGGCTTTCTGTGATGATGGACATATCCTATATCTATGCCGTCCAGTCCAGTAGCTACTAGCTGCAGGTGGCTATTTAGCACTCAAAGTGTGACTAGTGTGACTGAGAACTGATTTTTAATTGTATTCAATTTGAAGTAATTTAAATTTAAATGTTCCTATGTGGCTAGTTGCTATTGTATTAGACAGTTCTCAACCTTTGCATATGCTTTTCTGTTTACCCATAGACAAAATATTGTTTTGTATGTAGGCGTGTATATGTCATAAATGGTTTCATATATATGTGTTGGACTGCAACTTTTTTTTTTAATTTGGTGGTGTGTCTTGGAGTACTATCCATATTACATGAACATCTAGCTCATTGTATTAATACTTTTTTCTGAATTCCTAATTTTGTCAGTCATTTCCTTTTCTAAAATGGATATATCAGGTGGTGAAATTCTTTGGGGTTTTCCCCTCCTCATTATCCTTGATGTGCTGTAAGTGCTATGATCATAATAACCCGCTGAGGAAAGGTTTGATTTTATTGAGTAACCACTCCATATTTTGGACTCAGGGCATGCTATGATTAGCGGCTTTAAAAACCACATTACATTTTCACCACCACTGGCACCAATGACTGTTAACAAAGGAGCCAAGTGCACCATGGCCAATTAATTTCAAAAGACTTGCTGTGGGCTGGCTGAGATTAAGCTGAGATAGAGTTTCACCCCTGCACTTGGTGCTGTGATCTGCTGCATTGGTTCTTAGACTTCAGTGGACATAAGAATTGCCTAGAAAGCTTTTAAAAAAGTGTAGATGCATGGGCCCCTCCCCTGGAGATTGTGATTAATCGGCCCAGGCAGCTGTGCTTTTAAGACATACCGAAATTTATTCTGTCATATACCCAGTATTTTGGAAAGGGTCTTAACACTAGCAGTCCATAAGTCACCTTCGGTGTTAACTATGACAGTGAGCAAGTTTGTTGATCTTTTATATCTTGATGTTCTCAATTATCAGAAAAAAAAATCCCTTGCTTTGGTAGCCTTGTAGGTTGTGAAAATAAAAAGATATGTATAAAATACATTTGGAAATAAAAAGTCACAAAATTTTATAAAAGTATAAAATTCATCTTAACCTAATACTATAATATGGACCCTGGTGACACTAAAATAATTGCTTGTCCCTTGGTTCTTGAGAGTTATGGTTCAAATAGGTGAAAGTCTAAGATACTTGATTCAGCTTTGATGTTATTATTTTCCACATCTGTTTATAACCTTTGCGGCATATATTAATCTTTTTATTTTTTAACATGGATTTTTGTGAAGTTTTCTATTCTAAAAAAGAAACTGATGTCCCAAGTTAAAATTCTGTGTTAATTATGTTAATCTTTGGCATCAGTTTGTATGGACTTTTAATATTAAAAAACACAGCTATATCAGGAAGCTTAAAGTGCTTTGTCAGGTGGGAAGTTTTTTGATCTATTCGTTGAGATGATTTGTTTGTCTGTTGTCATGGTTTTACTCTAGGACATTTTGTGTCAGCTGTTTTCTAAAATGGCCATAGGTTCCATTTAGTAACATGCCTTTGCTATTATATAATCTGAGCAATGATATTATGATTCTTGGCATTGTGCTTAGCAGCTAATAGAGTTAAATGCTTTAATCGTATTTTCTGCTATTTCACTATTTTATGATGATTATTAGAAATAGTAATTGGTATGTTTCGACTCTCATTTTGTGCAATGCAAGAAATCATTTTTACCACAACCATCACATTTTCTCCACCACCAAATGACTTAACAATGGGGCAAAAAAATATTCTTTTTTTTTTTTTTTTTTTCGAGGCAGCGTCTCACTCTGTGGCCAGGGCTGGAGTGCAGTGGCATCATCATAGCTCACTGCAACCTCAAACACCTGGGCTCCAGCAATCCTCCTGCCTCAGCCTTCCAAATAGCTGGGACTACAGGCATGCACCACCATGCCCGGCTAATTTTTCTATTTTTAGTAGAGACGGGGTCTCCCTCTTGCTCAGGCTGATCTCAAACTCCTGAGCTCAAGCTGTCCTCCCGCCTCAGCCTTCCAGAGCGCTAGGATTACAGGTGTGAGCCACCGCACCTGGCCTTGCCAAGCTTCTTAACATAGAAGTTTAAGTTTTCCAGGAAGTTAGCCAGTTAACCTTACCTTTACCTTAAAGTATGTACTTCTATAATTCTTTCTTCAATTTATGTGTGCTTTACTAACTTTTTAAAAAATTGTTAGAGACTCTTAGAGATATGGACATGCTTGAAGCTCTGACTCGAGTGGGGCAAGGGCAATATACGGAACCTAAACATTTGTACCCCCATAATATGCTTAAATTAAAAAAAAGAAAGAAATTGAGAGCACATAAAACTAAAATAAGGTTTCTTTCGGGTGAAAGTTGTGGATAAAGTGAGATATCAGAAAGTATTTGACGATGTTGTTTGTACTACAGTTTTATTTTAAATGATTGCTGTAATGACCAGTTTTAAATTGTTAGGTAATCTCAAAGTGAGATGAGCTAGGATCACGTAAGACTAAAAGGAGAGTTCATTTTCTTTCAGGTGAAGGTTGTGGATGAACGGAGGTATCGGAAAGTCTTTGAAGATATCGTACGCATCATGGACAGAATGGAAAATGACTTCCTTCCTTCTTTAGAACTCAGCAGGAGGGAGGTGAGCAAAAATACCTGGCCTCCGCATTTACTGCCCATTGTAGTTAGCACAGAGGAAACCATGGTATTTAGAAAAGGTGACATGGCAAAGTGATTAAGACAGTGTGTGCTGGAGTCAAACTGCCTCCCATTCCAATCCCAGCACTGCCATTTAGTAGATGCTTGGCCACAGGCAAGAGTCTTACCCTGTCAGAGCTGCAGTTCCTTTTTCTGGAGGAGTCAATACATGTGAAGCTCTCGGAATAGTGCCTGACACATAGTAAACTCTCATTTGTTAGCTGCACTTATTTAATTTTTCGGAGTTGCTAGTTAATTTATATCTCAGAAACCAGGACTTGGTCACAGGATGAACGCCCTGGACCAAGGTTGGGTTACCCTCTTAGAATGCCAGGAACGATCAGAATAGCCTAGAGAATTAGTGAGAGCCACCTAACTCCTTCTCTGCTGGTAGGAGTATAATAATATATGAAAGTGGATAGTGTGAAGTTGGCTCAGATGGTGAATGCATATGGCAGTTGCACACCTGGTTAATAATTACCTTATTCTTCATATCCTCTATGGAATAATCCAACTGACTTACTTCCCCTACTAGTGATGCATGTTTGTGTCTGTCTGTTACTCCCCAGTTTGTGTTTGAGAATGTGAAGTTTCGGCAACTACAAAAGGAGAAGTTCCAGATCAGCAACAATGGACAGGTTCCCTGCCATTTTTCTTTCATCCCTAAGCTTAATGACAGCCAGTACTGCAAGCCATGGCTTCGGGCTGAACCTTTTGAGGGCTACTTGGAGCCAAGTGAGTTTTCCCTTTACCATTGTCTCTGCTGGTGATGTACCATCTCTTCACGACTCTCATCCCTTTGGTTTAACTTCCTGTTTTCTAACCACATGTCTCTTACCTTCACTGTCATTATTTTGGTGACACTTCTTTTGTGAGCCCAATCTCTTCCCCTTTATTCCTTAATGATTTTTTAGAGGATACTTGTTCTGTTGGTCATACCCTTTTTGCTTTTCCACTGGAAGTTTCTCTACTACCATGTATCATGTCTTACGTTTCAGATGAGACAGTGGACATTTCTCTTGATGTGTATGTCAGCAAAGACTCTGTGACCATCCTGAACTCCGGGGAAGATAAGATTGAAGATATTCTTGTCCTTCACCTGGATCGAGGCAAAGATTACTTCTTAACCATCAGTGGAAATTACCTCCCAAGTTGTTTTGGTACATCCTTAGAGGCTTTGTGCCGAATGAAAAGACCAATCCGAGAAGTTCCTGTTACCAAACTCATAGACTTGGTAAGAAACATCCTAAGACATAAACCTCCTTTACATATAATTTTCACAATACTTCCATGATGTCCTCATTATCTCTGTGCTTTCTCTCTTTTCTGCAGCAGGGAAAAAGAATGTCACTTTACTCTAGCACTGCTTTGATTAGATTAAGCCTAAGAGGAAAGAGGGGAGACTAATCTGTAGTTGGCTCTTGTCAGGAATATAATAGATAATACTAAGCTCACCAAATAAGATTAACGATTTCCTTCTCAAAGATATAATGCTTATTTGTTAAACTCTTCATACTCTCTAGTCACTTCTGTATAAATTAGCATGTATGTTGGGTACAGTAAGTGGGGCAGGCAGTATTATCCTCATTAAGCATATAAGAAAACTGAGGCACAGAGACATTAACTTGCCCAAAGTCAAATGCCATAAGTTAGTGACAAATCTATCACCTATATTTTCTGATTTATAGTCTAGTATTCCTCACTAGACTACATTATATCTAATCAAAGTAAAACTTGGCTACTTAGGGAAGCACAGATATGATGGAAACTTGGAGTCCCTGCATCAGACTCCACAGGGGTGCTTATTAGAAGTACAGGTTCCTCTCCCCTCACCTCTGTCAATGGAATCAGAATCTCAGGGTGTGGAGCCTAGGAATCTACATTTCATCAGCTTCACGGATAATTATCATATGTATTGAAATTTGATACTTATTTAATATGATTCACTTAAGAAAGGAAAGGATGATTTTCCCACCTCTCCCCCAAGTCAAGCTATAATATCAATGTTCTTATCTTAGGAAGGAAGTGGTGGTGCTTATTATCTTTAGTAACATAAATTGGTTTAGTAAGAAGTTCACCCTATTAAGAGCTTTTTTTCAGGTTGGGCATGGTGGCCCATGCCTGTAATCCCAGCACTTTGGGAGGCCCAGGTGGGAAGAGTTTGAGAGCAGCCTGGGCAACATAGCAAGACCCCCATCTTTACAAAAAATAAAAATTTAAAAAAGGAACTTTTCTTCTAAATGAAAATTTTGTTGGATTTGTATGCAGATTTCTTTGGGCCACAGAAGTATATTCTTGGTCTTTTACCAAAGAAAATTAGGTGAAGTGGGAGCCATACACCATCATTACCATTGATATCCATGTTGTACCCTTTGGCCTAGCCAGAGCAAGTGATTGTAACATCTAGCAAAGAGGACTGGACCAACAGGCAGGCTGCTGGCTTGTCTGAGTATGATCTGTTCTGTTGCCATGGAATTGCTTTAGCTGTGACTCAGATAGCAGATTAAAACACTTAAGTCCAGCCCCGGCATTCTTTCTTGGAATTATACTTGTTTCCCTAGAGCCCTCATGACTGAGTGTATCACCTCTAAGAGAAAACCATTTTCTTCAGAAATTCATATCCTGCCATTCTGCTGTTTCTCATGATAATTGTTTTTTCTTCTACCACCATATTTCTGTCTTTCAAATTTAGTATTTCACATTTTAGAATACATTGTGAATGATAAAGTTGTTTTCCTTTTTCTTCCTCCCCCTTCCCTTCATCCCAAACACTATCTCCCAGCTTTTTATTATGAAAAATGTCAAATGTGCAGAAAAATTGAAAGAACAGTACAGTAAACCCTCACATGCCTTATGTACATTATATACACACAGATGTTTTTGCTGTGCCATTTGAAATTAAATGGCAATATGTTGCCTCACCACTAGATACATCGGCCTACATCTCTTAAGAAAAAGGACAAATTTCTATATAAGCACAATACCATTATTACACCCAAGAAAGCTAACAGTAATCCATAGTATCATTTAACATCCAGTCCATATTCAGATTTCTCCAATTGTCCCAAGAATTTCTTTCATAGCTTTTTTTAAACCAAAATCCAATCTGGCTTCATTTAGCATATTTGGTGAGATCTGTGTAGTCTCTTTTAGCATAGTACAGTTCCCTACTTTTTTTCTTTAATGACACTGACTTTTTTTTTGAGACAGGATCTTGCTCTGTCTCCTGGGCTAGAGTTCAGTGCTGTCATCATAGCTCACAGCAACCTCAAATTCCTGAGCTCGAGCAATCCTCTTGCCTCAGCCTCCCAAGTAGCTGGGACTACAGGCGTGCACCACCACACCTGGCTAATTTTTCTATTTTTTGTAGAAATGGGATCTCGCTCTTTCTCAGGCTGGTCTCAAACTCCTGTCCTCAAGTGATCCTCCTGCCTTGGCCTCCCAAAGTGCTAGGATTACAGGCATGAGCCATTGCACCTGGCCAACGTTGACTTTTTAGGAGTCCAGTACAGTTGTCCAGTCAAGGGTCCACCATTTCCTAAATTTGTCTGATTGTTTCTTCTTGGTATTTTTTTAACTTATCCCTTTTATACTCTTTCCTTCACCCTCATTTCCTATAAACTACAACCTAGCTTTATTTTTGGTCAAAGTTGGTGGAGGCATTATAATGCCATAATTTTCCCATATTCTGAGATTGGTCAGAAGGAGGTTCAACCAGCATAAAAAGTTTATGTTTTATGTAAAATATATTATCAGGTAATTCCACCCTGTTTGTTCATAAATAGAAAGTAGCCAAAATCATTAGAGGAATTAATGGCTCTATAGGAAGCCCTTTTCCTTTTTGTGCACGTGATTGAAGGTTAAAGAAATAGAACCCTGATCTTTTTAAATTACAAAATTGCTGAGTTCTTATTAAATTGTATGTGTGTAATCATCGTTAATTCTTTTAAAGCTTTTATTTTGTAAGATTTAGGGTTCTGATTCTTTTCTCAGTCTGTTGCATTTCAGTGTTATTAAATTCCTGTATCTCAGTGATGAGGAAATTATCTTTACAGGTTGAATATCCCATATTTAAAATGCTTAGGACCAAAAGTGTTTCAGATTTCAGACATTTTTGGATTTGGGAATATTTGCATTATGTACTTACCGGTTCAGTATCCCTAATCTGGAAATCTGAAATCCAAAATGCTACAATGAGCATTTCCTTTGAGCATCATGTGGACGCAAAAAGTTTCAGATTTTGGAGTATTTGGATTTTGGATTTTCGGGTTAGGGATACTCAACCTGTATTAGTGTGGAGCAGTAAACAAGAAATATAAAGTACAGTACCCCATTTTTAATTCCTTCCTACTCTGTTTTGACTTGAGTTTGACCTTTTAAAATGATTCCTTAGGTCTAATATTTGTTCATGTTTTTTTCCAAGACCAAAGATTTTTCAAATCTCATGAGATGATGCTATTAATAATGGTACCTGTCCTATATTGTGTTATTTCCTCTAAAATTTTGGTGAAGCCAGAAGTAAGTTCAATGTATGTGTTGTCTCTCCATGTACTGTTTCAGAAAGATTCTTGTGCCTCTTCCCACCTCTTTCCACCAAATGCAGAATGAAATAACTGGCGTAATTCCTTGTCATTCTTCTGCCCTTCTCAATAACAGTGACTTTGCCACTCCTAGAATAGTTGGTATTGGCACAAGTGGGAAACAGAATTGGCACAAGTGGGAAACAGATTAGAATCTACTATTTGTAATCATCTTTATTCTTTTCCAGAATTAAGAAATATTTTTCTGTTTTATTAACTAGCATATTAAGTAGCAAATAATCATCAATATTTATTCATTACCCACCAGATATGAAGTATTATGGAATTTATGTGAATTCCTATAATTTAGTAATGATGAAGGTATACTTGCATGTACAGTATGGCTAAATCTTAAATCATGGTTAATAAGGAGTTTGGTTAGAGATAATCTGAACATTAGCTACCTTTACTGGCTAATGTGCAGTGTGTTTGGTAAGTCAGTATTTTGGAAGGTCATTTAAAGTGAATGTTATGGAGGTTGTAATTTGTATTAACAATAGATTCCTTTCCTGTGCTGTTTACTCAGGCCCTTATATGCTATAAAAGCTTATTGATTGACCAGATAATCCCTGTAAAAATCAATCTCAGAATCAGCCTATTTTATTTTTAATGAATATTTGATGAATGTTACATTAACATGACTTAGAAATAAGTTCAGCATGTAAGAATGAAGTAAACTAGGAAAGTGATTTGGGGTTAGCCATAGAAGTATTTTCATCAAGTCCAAGTACTTAAGAAACATATATTAATATATTGAGTGAGCAGGCTCTTCCAGGCATAAGGAACATCTTGAATGAAGGGTAGAAGGTGAAAGTGATTTCCCCAGAAAAAAATGAAGATTAAGGACAAGAATGTGTAAAGTTGGTTAGGCAAGGTAGGGACAGGTGATAGAGAGTCTTGAAGTCAACAGATGAGCTTAGGCTTGAACCAGAGGGCGTCTAGAACCATCAGAAGGCTTTGATGATTAGTATAAGGTTGTAAATTGATGTATTTCGAGGAACATTCTGGTGTTGCTTGTAGAATCAACTAATGGAAAGGAGACTAGGCTTCAACTTACCAGATCTGGTTTAGGGTTTTGGTTGTAAATACAGAGATGAAAAAAGTTGAGGAATTGGTAGAGAAACTATATTTGCTTGGGGACATGTCTATTGAGAGAACAATATCAAAAAATTGAAATAAAGTAATAACTTGTTGATTAATTTGTCCCCTGTGATCTTTTCATTATGTGTTTACTTTTTACTAATCAAACTATCCATTTCTCATCCTGTTAGGTGCATGGTTTGTGTTTCTTCTCTCTGTATTTTATATGAACTAATCCTTTTTAGAAATTCAATTTCCATGCATTTTCTCCTTTTCATTTTTAAATTAGAATCTTCCACCTCTAAATGACTTTTATATTATTTTAGCTTCATTTACTACTGGGAACATTCTTCTAAGAGCAAATGTTGCCAGTGTTGCCCCACTGGGGAGATCCTAAACTAAGTTCTCTTTTTTAATGTGATCAATGCGTAGCTTTTTGCAGAGAATGGGCATCTCTACCTTTTAATACCAATTGAACTAAGTATTAAAATAATTGGTAGTAGTAACCTTGGTACTACCATAGAAGTTGGCTGTTTACTAATGTAGGTTAAGTGATGTTTCTGTTTTCAAAATTGAGACCAGGATTGAATTAAATGTAATTTACATCTACTTTCTTTATACCTGTACCCAGAGAAGTAAACTCTCTATGTAAATCTGCTACCCCCTCCATCAGTATTTAATCAAAGTCCTTTTGATTTTTTTTCGAGTTTTCTCTTATATCCATTCATCTTTTCAAAAAAGAAATATATTATTTTCCATCATTAGTTAGGGTGTTTACCCTCTCCTGCTTGACCTACCTTGATAGCGTCTGAATGATTCCCTCCCTCTCTCCCTTTCTCTTTCTCCCCTTCCCTTTCTCCTTCCCTCCCCCACCTCTATTCCCCTCTCCCTCTCTGCCCTTCAGTTTTTCCTGTTCAGGGCTGTCAGATTGATCTTTCTGTACTACTGCTTTGGGGCCTATCAAGTCCATGCTTAAAGGTAGCAGTGGCTCCCCCATGCCTGCCGAATACAATCCAAATTTCTTAACCTGTCATTCAAGGTCCCCTAAAGTCTGACTTCAACATACCTTTTCAGATTTATTTCCTACTGTTTTTCTCAAAATTCTCTATGCTCCCCACAAACTAGATGACTAACTTCTTCCTAATCTCACCTTGCAGATTGCCTTCTCTGTGCCTTTCTTTATTTCTTCCTCTTCCACTTGTAATATAACCTCCCCATCTCCACCCTTTAATATCCCTAAGGGCTGGGAACCATTTATTGAAAATTTGTATTTGTGAATTATAACAATATCAGACTATAAATTCTGGAACTCCTTACATCAATCAACTTAGTTACAAACCAGGGTCAGGGACAAACCACGTCTTTCTCCTTTATGTATCCTCATTAGTCATTGTCCTCCCCCTCAAAGGCATTAGCACAGTGCCTTGTTCTGGTAGATGGCTGCTGCTCCAGGAAAACTTCTTTGAGGGCCTGGTTTGGTGAGCTAGTATATAAAATCTCTGCCTAGTTTTACTCATCGTATCATGTGTCACATGTTCATGGGAGGGAAAGTATAAATGTATCAGATAGGTGATTCTCTATTTATTAACATGTGTTCCTAAATTTTATAAGAGGTTGTAGTCCAACATTATATTAAATTAGATGTTCGGCATTCAGAATTTACTGCACATTAAAAAGTATTATAATACTGTAAATACCATGTACCTTATAAAGCACTATCACTCCAATTATTTCATGTGATATTTAATAGTGTAGGTAAACCCACAAAGGAATGTTTAACTTATAAAGTATCTAATAATACTAAAAAACCTAATTGCTGTATATAACAATAGTTGGGGGGAAATGCATTCAGCATTGCCGCTTGGAGTGTCCAGGAGCACATACTACCCCTCTCCCCCACCCCCAGCCCCCGTACATCTCAGACAGTAAGATTGCAATTTCTCCTTTTACTTATCAGACCTGAGGCATGTGATTTATACTTGAGTGCTTAGTGGCCCATAGCAGGACTGGGAGGAATCCAGTTGGGAGTCACTGAGGAGGTATGAGGAGCTTTGAGAGACCCATACCCTCTGCTGGCATGCTGCTTGGTTTTAGGCTGTTTCCTTGTCCCTCTGAGGTAAATATTATTATCCCTGTTTTAGAGATGAAGAAACTGAGGCTCTACGAAGTTTGGCAACTTGTGTGAGGTCTAAACAAGATTAATAAGAGACAGAATAAAGATTTGTATCCAGGACTGTCTAACACCAATGCCTATACTCTTTCCATTAACCATGCTGCCTTGTAAGTGTGGTCTCTTACTGTCCTTAACCTGTTACAGAGAATACATTCTCACAGCTTCTCCCTGCCTCTCCATCCAGGAAGCAATCATTGTCCTTTCTGAGTTGACTAAGGGAACCTAGGTGATAATGACTGGGTAGTTGATCAGACCTGGGTTCTAATCCTAATTCTGCCACTTACTCACTAATAGTAAGTGTGGCCTTGGGCAAATAATTTAACCTCTGAGCCTCAGTTTCTTCATCTGTAAAATGGTAATAATATCTACTTTGCACATATGTGCAGATTAAATGACATTGTAAGCACTTTGCAAAGTTCCTGGTACATGGCAGATGTTCCCTAAGTAGTGGTAGTAGTTACTGTTGCTGTTATTATTATTGATTATAATAACAGCATAAAAGACAGGAATATTAAAAAGGTACCTTCTTCGCTCTCCCTCTCCCCTACTTCTCTTTTCTCGTATACCCAATAGGAAAACAAAAAGAGGGGATAATGATCTTCTGATCCACAAAGATCTGAAATGAAATTTATTTATAGTTCAGAGGAACCTTCAAATCTGGGCACTTTGAGGAGGGGAATGGTTATGAGGAGATGGAAAGGGAATATGGGATACTGCTTAGGAGGCTAGCTGGGGTGAGAAGAGTGGCAGTAGAAAGGAGAGTAGCCTTACTATCTCCTTCCAAATGACCACTGTCAGGCTGACAGCCACATTCTTTCATTGAGGTGGCATTAGGATGAGGTGAGAAGCCATGCAGTACAGCGGGTAGGGCCTGCCTCCAAACAGCAAGTAAACAAGAAGAGACATCAGTGGGCACTTGGCTGGGTCAGCTGGCCACTGCCAAAGGGCACAGAAGTCTAGGACTACACATGTTTCTTGAGTGATAATCTCAATAAACTGCACAGAAATTCAATATGCATTATATAGAGAACTTTGCATATGGAGAATGTGTTCCATTTTCAGTAGTCATAATTTATTTGAAGAATTCAAAGCTGTTTATAGCATATGGGTCTGATAATCTAGTGAGTTCTAATACTGATCTGTTTCTAGTTCTGTAAATTAATTCTAATCATTTTCTATCTGTCACTGACTTTCTTTTCCTGCTCTGCTCTCAGGACGAAGACAGCTTCCTAGAAAAGGTAATGCAACCCATTGGTGGTTATGAGAGTTTCCCTGTGCTTGATTAACACTTAACTGTGGTCCTTGGAATTTGTCCCTAGGCATTCCCATATCAGAGACCTCTGACTCTGTGAGAATCCCCTAAAGTCCTGCCAGCTGTCTTTAACACATTGAATGCCACACACACACACACACACACACACTCACAAACCAGAAACTTTTCCTTGGGGCCACAGTGTTTTATTACAAAAATAGAATGAAAACTTTGAGTGTAATTTAAAGGTAAACATAAATAGAAAAATGAAATTTATTGACTTCTATTTATTTAATCCACCTTTTTAGAATTAAATTGTCAATATTAATTGTAAAAATAAGAACAACAAGTAAGATTTTATATATGCTTCACACGGCCCCAGGGTCAAAACTAGAGTGAGTTAAATACAACTCTGATGGCAGTCAATGTGTTAAGTATATTTGAAGTACAGGAAAGATATTTATTGCACTACTCAAGACACTGAGACTCAGTACAATAAAAACAGTAGGACTCAAGTTTCCATATTTGTATTTTTGAAATGAGAAATACTACAGAGCTATCTTGATGTACCTGAAAGCTCATGAATTAAAGGAGGGTGCCAGTTAGCTATCCTCTATTTCCAATGGCAATAAAACCAGAAGATTTCCATTGCATTAAAAATGATTTGGGGTTAGTGATAATAGCAATTAATTACTGAATGAATACACAGATACAGTCAAGAAATAGAGCATAGAATAGAATCATGGCCCTGAATGAGATCATAAGTGATCATCTGGTCCAGCCCTCTGCCTTCAGATGGGGTAAGGTATTTTCTCCTTTCTACCAGATGAAACAACCAAGGCCCTTTCAGTTGAAAAACTTGCTAAACTCATACTGCTCCTGACAGCAGGGGTGTGAGCTGGAGGGCACTAGAACCCAGGTCTCCTGATTGCCCAGTGAAGCACCCCTTCTGCAGTACCTCACTGCCTCTCCATTCACCCTGAGAGCATCCAGCTCCACACAGGGCTATCAAGTAGAGGAGCATGGGATTGATAAACATGCTTAAAGTACTTTGATAGAGCATCTGATGGGACCTCTCCACTTGGTGGAATTTAATGCACTTTGATGATGGGGTAGATATACTGTTTTTGTGCTTTAGTTACTAGCGCAAAGGTTACAGAGTGTGGGCTTATCAGGCACTGACTGTGTCTTGTTGAAAGAAGACAAAGTGTCTTGGTTTCCCTCTGAAAATCAGAGTTCAGGATTATTTGTGAAATTTTTTAAAGTTGTTTCTTGTGCATGATCATTCTCTAGACTTCAGAGACACAAGTATGACATTCTGTATTATAACACATGAATGCAAAAATAGATAGTGAGTGGTGTATATAACCTACTGACATTTTATTAACCTTTTAAAACCACTAAGGTTTCAGACAGCTCTGCTTCCCAGCCCTTCTCTGTTAAGAGCAGTTCATGTTCTGTCTTTTTATCTTGGACAGTGCCTCGTGTTGCTTTAATACCTTAGTACAGGAAAAGATCTAGTTGGATGTCAGATTTTTTAAAAAGTACATGAATCAGTGGTGAATAATTTATATATGGTAAGTTTGGAGACACCTGCTAAAGAATCTGTACATGTGTTGCATTTGGTCCAGAAAGTTAGCATAGTGCTTTATGGACAGTGTTTTGGCTCAGATATAATGTGGATGCCTGGATTTAATACTTGCAAATGGAAAGAAGTCAGTGGATAAGCCACTGATAGAAGTTCTGGCAACTATAGAGAACATGAATATCAAGTGATAGAATCCCAGGGAAAGAAATGAAGCAAACTGTAAAAAAATAAAAAAATAAATTTAAGTGGTAACCAACTGTCATGCTCCCTACAGTAAGAAAAAAAATAGATTTTAAATGGTAATAAACTGTCATGCTCCCTTCTCTTCCTTATTCTCTCAGAAAGGCTTTAAAAGGTCATCAGTGCTTACTAAAGAACACAATGTTAAGAAGAGACCTCAGCTCGTCCTTAGTGTATGTGGTCCCTGTGAAAGTAGTGAAAGACTCATTTTCTTTCCCTTAAAGCTACTTGGCTGGGGGTCATGGATGGAATTTACAGGTCGCAAAATGTTGAGCAAGAATTTCCTAAGGTTAACATACAGAATATATGGCCTTAAGCTGGAGATAGGGGAGAGAGGAAGATGTAAAAACTTAGTCATGATTTTCTCCACTGGGATTTTTCTGAAGGCTGCCTTCAGATGCCTTTACTATTTCAAACCTCTTTTTCATATAATTTGTATTTGACTACATAAACATAAGACAACTGAGTTTATTTTCTAGCCATATTCAAATTCAAATTATTCATTGGTCTAATTTTTCTCTTACGTCCTTTCAGAAGAATCTGATAGTAAAAAGGTAGGTGAAAGGAGTAAAAGCCCATAGAAATTTGTGCTGAGTTAATATAGACAATAACTTTTGGACTCAGACCCTAGACTTTTCTTGGTATTTCTGGTTCTTGACTTTATACTTATGAGTTTTGGTGCCTTAAGTTTAGAACTTCTGTCAAACCTAAAGCATTCACATATGTGGGTCTAATGTGGAAAATTCTCTTTAGTTCCTGAGAGCCAAAAAACCTCATTTAAATCAACAGTGAAAACAGTAGTATTTGTGCTAAGACCTGAAGGAAGAATAAGTTAAAAGTAAACAAAAAGCTAAGTGTAGATTCTGGTCTCTCAAAGTATTGTATTGATAATTGTAATTTAATGGTCCCACAAGTCACCAGTGGTGTGTAGACTCCACTGTGATTGTATCACTGGAGCCCTGGTTCTCGGTGTCACCCTTGAAAGGATTTAGACACAATGCATCCATGTGATAAACATTGTAAACCCAAATGAAATGTTGAACGATTAAGTGAAGCATTTAGGAAAGGAGATGCTTTAGCTCTGTGAATCAGTGTCAAGTGCCTTCTGACCAGGGGTGTCCCCAGTGAGAAGAAATGAAAAATCTTAAGAGATGAAGATCACATTGTACCCACATGACCAGAATTTGAAGGAGATTAAGTTACACAGAGAAGTCTTTATTCTGAGACCCCTTTGATTCTCATCCCTTTTCGTCTATTAGGAGAAATCCCTTCTGCAGATGGTTCCCTTGGATGAAGGTGCCAGTGAGAGACCCCTTCAGGTCCCCAAGGAGATCTGGCTTCTAGTAGATTACTTATACAAACACGCCTGTAAACAGGTAAGTGACACTAGACCTTCCCTACAACTTTGGAAGGTGTGAAAGTCCTGTAAGAAATTATAATACCTCATGTCAGCATAGTGTTTTTAACTTTACCAAGCTCCCTCAACACAGCAGCACTGTCAGATTGCCTGGGCAGGTGAAAATGTCCCTATTCACAGATGTGACAGCTGAAGAATGCAAGCTAAGTTGTTTACCTAAGACCACGGTCTAAATGTAGTGGCAGAGCCAGGGCCACAACTAAGAACACCTGTCTCCTGGCTGCACACTCTTTTCTTCTGGATAGCTTCATACTTGAGTCTATAATGCCTACTTTGGCTGTTACAGATTTTTAAGTCCAAAGCAGACTTTAAACCCATTTCTTTAACTTGGTCCTGATTTTTCTTTTAAATCCTATTTAAAATGCTAACCATCACAACCCATTACCCCCAAAAGGAGAACTTTCTTGGGATCAAATTGAAGGGTAATATTCTCTGACCTACTGAAGAGTAATATAACTTGAAAGCAAGGCTTAATATGAGCATGCCATTTACTCCTTCCCCAGCACTTAGTAGTGTCAGCATTTGAATGTGGTTATACCATTTGGACTCTGCCTTCTAGTTCTTGTCAAGAGGCTACAAGTGGAACACCTGGTTTCCTGATCTAGCCATCTAGTCCCCTGCCTTACCAGGTATAGGCTAAAACCTTTGAAGACCATTTTCTTATTTGAAATAAAATTTCAACAGATTATAGAGATGATATAGGAAAAAGGTACTATTTTTTACACCTCCATTACTAATCATTAATACACATATCACCCTTCTCTTTTGCTTCCTGCTGCTATTTCAATCCCTGGGTTATCTTCAGAACCTTAGGGGTGATTATCTTGCCTATTCCCTTCATTCTGATTTCTTTGCTAGGAGGACCTGTTCCAAACCCCTGGGATGCAGGAAGAGTTACAGCAGATCATTGATTGTTTGGATACCAGCATTCCTGAGACAATCCATATCCTTTCCAATCAAGGCTTAAGAAACTGGATGAGTACTTGGCCAAACTCTTCTTTGTACCTACATTTGATTTTTTATTTTTTATTTTTATTTTTTTTCTCTGTTTCCCGGGCTAGAGTGCTGTGGCATCAGCCTAGCTCACAGCAACCTCAAACTCCTTGGCTCAAGCAATCCTTCTGCCTCAGCCTCCC